ATGCAGTTCGTGTCCTTTGTAGGGACATGGATGAATCTGGAGAACATCATTCTTAGCAAACTGACACAAGAATAGAAAATGAAACACCGCATATTCTCACTCATAGGCGGGTGATGAAAAATGAGAACACATGGACACAGAGAGGGGAGTACTAAACACTGGGGTCTATTGGGGGGAAAAGGGGAGGGCCAGTGGGAGGGGGAGGTGGGGAGGGATAGCCTGGGGAGAAATGCCAAATGTGGGTGAAGGGGCGAAAGCAAACAAAACACACTGCCATGTGTGTACCTATGCAACTGTATTGCATGCTCTGCACATGTACCCCAAAACCTAAAATGCAATAAAAAATAAATAAAAATAAAATAAAAAAATAAAAAAACGTGGTTAGACATAAAGCAATATGATTTAATGATAATAACTTGAGGATACTTAGCAAGTCCTGTTTCTTCAGGTTCTTCTTGGCTTTCCTGTGTGACATTCTTTACTTTTGGACATAGAGTAGGACACCTGTCACAGGAGCATTCAGAGGAGAAAGGAAGGAGAAGGTCAGAGATGACCTTCCTAGATGCTATGGCCTGCTTCTGGTAAGAAGGGCAAGGGAAAGATGAGAGTGGACTTCCTGCTTTTGCTGTTTTCTCAACTCCCAAGGTGTCATAATTTGAGGTAGCATTTCCTGCACCCCATTAAAGTCACAAAAAGCTTTCTGGAGTGACATTCATGATAATTATTACTGCAACTTGGAATTGGAACTGTAAAAATTTTCATCTTTGTATAATTGTGCTCTGCAGGAATTTTTGGTAGTGAACATGTATCATTTTTACAAAAAATAGTATTTTTTTAAAAAAAATTAGGGACCCAAATAGTAGTATAGAAATCTTAAAAGTGGTTCATTTAGGTAATATGCTCTTAAAATATAAATTATTGTTCAACCACTATGGAAGACAGTATGGTGATTCCTCAAGGATCTAGAACCAGTAATTCCATTTGACCCAGCAATCTCATTACTGGGTATATACTTAAAGGATTGTAAATCATCCTACTATAAAGACACATGCACGCATCTGTTTATTGTGGCACTGCTCACAATAGCCAAGACTTGGAACCAACCCAAAACCCCATCAATGATAGACTGGATAAAGAAAATGTGGCACATACACACCATGGAATACTATGCAGCCATAAGAAAGGATGAGTTCATGTCATTTGCAAGGACATGGATGAAGCTGGAGACAAAATAACACAAGAACAGGAAACCAAACACCGCATATTTTTACTTGTAAGTGGGAGTTAACAATGAGAACACATGGACACAGGGAGGGAAACATCACACACCAGGGCCCATCGGGTGGTGGGAGGAAAGGGAAGGGACAGCATTAGGAGAAATACCTAATGTAGATGACAGGTTGATGGGTGCAGCAAACTGCCATGGCACATGTATACCTATGTAACAAACCCACATGTTCTGCACATATACCCCAGAACTTAAAGTATATTAAAAAAGGAATATGTATCATTAATTAATCTCTTATTCTTTGAAAATTTTGGGGTTTTCTGGTGCATAAGGTGGTAAAGTGTTTATGTAACTACACCTATAAAATATGATATTTTAAAACAATTTTAATTGGATGATCTACTTCTCAAAAAATAATTTTCCTAATAGATAATTTACATTCCAATAATCTTTAACCACTATACCCTTAGCAAGTCTTTCTTTTCTTGACAAACTGTAAAGACAAATTGAATTTTATAAATGTGACTATAAACTTAAATTTTTTTTTTTATCTAAAGGGCAGTTTTTAATAAAAATACAAAAATAAAATACATTGAGAAGAAACTGTAAAGATGTGAAATATCAGTGATTAGCATGGACTCAACTGGTTGTCCTGTTTCTTCTGCCACTCCGTTTCATTTTCACTTTTGATTACGATTTAACTGGGGAGGAAAGACATCGGTGTTGACAGTGGAACTTGCTCAAGCTGACACTTTGCCTCTCCAGGGAGTCTCCCCTCCAGGCTGGTACACACTTCCTCTTAATTTACTAATGGAAGAACCCCTGAGTTAGGGAACCTAATGTAATAGAAATAAACATGTTCATTAAAAAAAAGAGTGTGTTACTGAAAAAGTAACGTTAGTGTACTACTACAGCAGTTCTGCTTGGCTCTGGAGCACTGGATATCTTTTCTCAGCCCTAGGATCACAACTGTAATTTTAAGGCTTCATTTTACTCATTCAGCTATTGGGGAAAATGACTTCTTTTTTCCGTTTTTGGTGTCAGGGCTGTGGTTTCACAACCACTTGGTGAAAGACAATTGGTTGAGAACAGGGTCCAGTCTACACAGATTTTCATTTCCTAGCATGACAGAGAAGCTTTTGGTTAAGCTCATGATTGACCCTGTGGGGAATCCCCCAAATTTAGTACTGTTATCTCCAAACATATTTCTCTTAGTAATCTAGTAGGTATGAATTAGCTCTTCTGTCTCTAAGCCCTATTCAAAGAGGAGAGTATATAGTGTAGTGGTTAGAACTTGTGGTTCCAGACCCATCTGAGTTGAAATCTTGGTATCATTTTCTAGGAGGCTGTGGCAGGAGAATTGCCTGAACCCAGGAGGTGGAAGTTGCAGTGAGCCGAGATTGCACCACTGCACTCCAGCCTGTGTAACAAGAGCGAAACTCCATCTCAAAAAATAATAATAATAATAATTTTCTAAGCATAGTTTCATTGGCAGGGCACATAACACTCTCTGAGTTGTCTATTATTCAGAAATAAAAAAGGATGATGGTAATCTTTGCCTCCTGGAACTGTTAATACAAAAGCTGACATTTATCGAGCACTTATTATGTGCCAGGCATTGTGAAAAGAGTTTTTATGTGGCACTCTCTTTGATCTTGGGCTTTGTGCCTCAGTTTCTGCATCTGTAAAAAGAAATAGGACCCTTGTAACAGGGCCTGCCATAGTAAGCCCTAGATAGCTATTAGTGTATAATAGAAAGCTGGGCTGGACTTGGTGACTGATGCCTGTAATCCCAGCACTTTGAGAGGCCCAGGCGGGTAGATCACAAGGTCAAGAGATGGAGACCATCCTGGCCAATATGGTGAAAACTCGTCTCTACTGAAAATACAAAAATTAACTCGATGTGGTGGTTCGCACCTGTGGTCCCAGATACTCAGGAGGCTAGAGCAGAAGAGTCGCTTGAACCCAGGAGGCGGAGGATGCAGTGAGCCGAGATCACGCCACTGCACTTCAGCTTGGTGACAGAGCAAGACTCTGTCTCAAACAAACAAACAAAAAATCTGACACACATTTGCTGAGTAGTTAAAACTGTAAGCTGAGGAGTTTAGAGAAATCATAAATACTTTGATGCCTTAGTTTCCCCAGATGTAAACTGAGGACAATATAAACTTAAATTCTAAATATACATGGAGAAATAATATAGAATAATATTTCCATATGTCTTTAAATCTAGAAATAAAACTTAAATTATAGCCACCCTTAAGAAAACACCAAAGAACAACAACAAAAAAAAGGCTTTCAACATCTTATTGATGCTCATGATTTTAAAAAAGGGAATTAGAAAGTTGAAAGTATGTTTAAAGTTACTTTTAGGTTAGATGATGTTTGGCTTAAAGGTGTGTTGATTTCAAAACCAGATTGTCACAATGCTTAAGAAAAATAGTTTTGTAAAGAAAGCTCATGTGTTATATTCACTTATCCAGCTGAATTTTCTCATTCAATGATTACACATGACTCCCAATGATTGAATTTTGAGGGTCTCTTCCTGGCACTTTGTGCAAGAAACACTGTTATAAAAGCTGCCCTGTTATTGATGTACTCCTGAATAATGTCATGAGTATTGGTAGAATTTTACACAATAAATGAATCGGCTATTACTGGATATATACTTAGAGGAATATAAATCATTCTACCATGAAGACACATGCACATGAATGTTCATTGCAGCACTATTCACAATAGCAAAGACACGGAATCAACCTAAATGCGAGTCAATAATAGATTGGATAGAGAAAATGTGATACATAGACACCATTAAATACTATGCAGCCATAAAAAAGAAGGAGATTGTGTCTTTTGGAATTGGAGATGATCATCCTTATCAAACAGGAACAGAATAACAAATACTGCATGTCTTCACTTATAAGTGGGGGCTAAGTGATGACCACTCACAAACACAAAGAAGGGAACAACAAACATGGGGATCTACTTGGGGGTGGAAGGTAGGAGGAGGGAGAGGAGCAGAAAAAAAATAAATATTGTGTACTGGGCTTAATTCCTGGGTGATGAAATAATCTATACAACAAACCTCCATGACACGAGTTTACCTATATAAAAAACCTTCATGTGTACCTCTGAAACCTGAAATAAAAGTTAAAAAATAATGAATGGGCTTGAGACAGGAAACCATGGAGATGAATGATCTCTCAGAATAATTTGGCTATTGCCCTCTGGTCCAAGCTGAGCAACAGATACAAATTCTGGTGAGAACCATTTTGTCAACTGAAAATAAGGCAGAGCAAAGGAAATCCCCAGATGGGTGGACTTAGGTACAGCCTGTTTGGAGCAGGTGGTCAGCATGCCCTTCCCTAAAGAGGTACAGCAGGGGCCTGTAGCCAGGAAGGCCACAACAGTATTCTGAGCAGGAATAAGTTCCATGACTTGAAGAAGCTTCTTACTCATTATATAGGGGAGCACAGAGAGGATATATGCTTAGGCAGGAGATAAGAATGGTATGAAATAAGAAGAGAAGACAGACTTGTCAGCAGCTAGAAAGCAGACCTGATACAGAGCCCGGATTCAGGCGATTGTTCAAAGAGGATTGTACAAATCCTCTTCTTTGCTGGACTCTGTCTTGGCTCCGTGTCCCCATACTTTCACACAAATACTCAAAAACGAGGCAAATGTACCAAAAGGTAGTGAATTGCTTTGTAAATTCTGGGTAGAGGACCTGTGACTAATATAGAGAAGAAATGCATTTCAGCCAGTAACATGAATTATAACATTAAAACTACTTATTTTTATTTATATCAGAGTAACAATTATGAAGTCCTCTGAAGTTCAACACACAGGTCTCTTGTGTGGGGCAGTGGATGTGGAAACGTTCTTGTTCTTCCTTCTTTACACATTTAAGTTGTGCCTTTTGTTCTTAAAGAGATTTTCCTTTGTTCAAAATATTTATTTCCGGTATTTCACAAATCCGAAAATAACTGAAGAAACAGGTTACATCATTCCAATTTTGCCTTGGGTTTGAAGAGTCCCTTATAGTCACACAGTCCTCCAGGGTAGCTATGTTGTTGGGCTCCCCTGCATCCCAGAAGCTAAAAGAGAATGACATAAGACATTTTAAATCCCAGCAAAAAGTGGTAGAGTAACGTACAATACTGGGCAAATTCCATTTGTGTTATTTAACCTCACAACAATTTTGCCAGGCAGGTATTATAATGCCCATTTTATTGAATAAGAAAAGGAACCTCAGGAAGGCTAAACCATTTGTCTCAGTCACAGTTTGTGAGTACTCAAGCTGAACTGGATCTTTCTGACTTTCTACTCTGTCCTGTTCCTTAGCCATAGAATGAGAAGTTATGGGGAAGATTGATATTCTGATAGATTTATTTTCTTCACACTCATATATCCTATCGGCTTGGCTCTCTTTATTTTGCACAGAGAGTGTATTAACTTAGGCGCATCCTGCAGTGGTGTTACGGTGCAGTAGTGAAGCAGCATTTCTAAAGTGTCAGAGCATCTGTGCTGTACTCTTAGAATTGCTCATTCGCTAAGTCACTTAACTCTTCTGAGTTTTAGTTTCCTCAAATGCTAAATAAAGATTAAAGATTCATAATACTGATGCATTCCAAGAAAGTGCAATTTAGGTGAAATGAAATAATAAATGAGAAAAAAACTTTGAAAACTTAAAAATGCTATGCTCCATCAGGAAGAATACCTAATGCATGCTGGGCTTAATATCTGGGTCATGGGATGATGGGTGCATGATGGGTGCAGCAAACTACCATGGCACATGTTTACCTGTGTAACAAACCTGCACATCCTGCGCCTTTCCCATGGAACTTAAAAGTTGAAGAAAAGAAAAAAGATCAAAAGCTTACTCCCTAACAAATCATGAGAATCAACATATATAGCAAAATATTTTACAATCAATCTAACAAAAAAAGCATATGCCCAATAAAAAATGCTATGCTCTAATGATGTAAGGCTATTATTAAGGAGAAAAGAGACATTATCAAGGGATTCTCATTTTCACTGCATAAGAATCTGCTGTGTTTCTCAACTTACTATTTTTTTTCCCTCATTTCCTTCAGATTTGGGGAATAAGACTCTTAATTCCTCCCCTTGTATCTTTTGTATTCTCAGTGAATGATTCTTCAGTTCTAACCCCCTTCTCATTTTCATTTATTATTTCCCCTTTATTCTTCAGACAATCCCAGGAAAGGCAAGAAGTGGGTGCTTGTACTTCTCCTTCGCCTTTTCTACATCAGCTCTTCTGTTTCCTGCATTTAATACTACCAAGGATGGACCTGATCTATCGCAGATAACAGAAGGTGGTTTCAAGAACTCCTCTCAACAGGACGGTAATTACCTCAGAGACTTTGTGAAAGGTGTGTTATCCACCCACTGCCACTGACCCTCGACCACCTGATCTGACAGTCCAATAAAAAACTCTCTCATTTTCGGTTTCTTGTAGAAAAGGAATTCCTATGGAAGATAGAAAATAAAAGGAGATAAGTTATTTCAGTGTTGAATAAATGTTGCTGGTAATTGTTATTAAAAGAGGTAAGAATTGGCCGGGCGCGGTGGCTCACGCCTATAATCCCAGCACTTTGGGAGGCAGAGGCGGGTGGATCACGAGGTCAAGAGATCGAGACCAACCTGGTCAACATGGTGAAACCCCGTCTCTACTGAAAAGACAAAAACATTAGCTGGGCATGGTGGCGCGCACCTCTAGTCCCAGCTACTCGGGAGGCTGAGGCAGGAGAATTGCCTGAACCCAGGAGGTGGAGGTTTCGGTGAGCTGAGATCACGCCATTACACTCCAGCCTGGGTAACAAGAGCGAAACTCCGTCTCAAAAAAAAAGGTAAGAATCTGGATGAGATCCTAGCACTTTGGGAGGCTGAGGCGGGTGCATCATCTGAGGTTAGGAGTTCGAGACCAGCCTGACCAACATGGTGAAACCCTGTCTCTACTAAAAGTACAAAAAAATTAGCCAGACTTGGTGGCAGGCACCTGTAGTTCTAGCTACTTGGGAGGCTGTGGCACAAGAATCGCTTGAACCTGGGAGGTGGAGGTTGCAATGAGCCAAGATCATGCCACTGCACTTCAGCCTTGGTGATGAAGTGAAACTCCACCTCAAAAAAAAAAAAAAAAGAATCTGGATAAGGAGTGACAGATAAATGAAACTATCAGATTTTGAGGATTATCTACTGCTTTTTTTGTGGTAAAATATACATAACATAAAATTAAACTGACGAAAAATAACCTCCAACAGAAAAGGAGATCCTGAATAATTATTTGAAAGTTTATCTACTGTTATTGGTGGCCAGATTTATTGAATATATCTAGTGCAAAATATTATTAATCACAGCTTAAAGAAAATGAACAATATTTGCTTTCCTTTTTTCACATAATATGTTCATAAACATATTGAATAGTCTGAAATTAACCTCCAATCCTCTTTTTTCCCCTTGCCTAACTAAAGGAAATCCATGTGGAAATTCCCTTTTTCTTAGGTTCTTCTAGGAATGAAAATAAATTAAGGTAGGTAGTGACTTTACCCAAATAGTAGGAACAGCATGTATTTTAGTACATTCATTAACAATAGTCATTGGGAGTCAAGCACCGTGCATATGTATAAAAAGAGAGTTGGACCATTTGAGGAATGTTACATTGGCATCAAAGGACTCCAGCTACCTGCTCCTCCTCTGAGTTGATAACCACCAGGTGAGCCCCCATGGCTGAGCAGTTCTTTAAACTTGATACCCAGGAACTGGTGTCAGTAGAAAAGAAGTAGCAGCTAGATTGAAAATGTTCCCAGTTCAATGGACAGCAATTCTTGATTGAACCTAGGATGAGAGATGTTTCAGTGAGTGGTGAGTGTCCCAGCTGAACCAAATAAGAAAACCCAAAGCTTCATCTGGCCCCATGGAGTCCTCATTTAAGCCAGAAGCCTTGGAATCACTTGTTCATCTCCCATATCTTAGTACCTAAGACTTTAGATAATTCCAATGTCAATAAACATAAACAGATTTTTTTTGGTCTTTTGAATATAATTTTCAGTTTCTGATGTCAGTGCCAGGAAATGCAACTATATATGCAAACTATCTCAGTTATGCTATTGCTTTGCTATTGAACCTTATCTGTTCTTAGACTAGTGATGTCAGAGAAATTTATGTATTTTATTTGGGTGACCCCCAAACAGTCATCTCTTATGTTGCCTAAACAATATATCCTCGATCAAATCTCCAAACTGGTATACAGATAAGTTAGATTTCTTAGAATTACAGAACTTTTGCCTTTGAGGTCTATTATAACTAATTTGTCTAACTTCTCTCAATTTAATGGTGAGAAAATTATAGCTCAGAGAAGGAAGTCACTTTCTTAGTGTCATGTAGCATTTTGATAAGACTTGGAACAGGATGGCATATAAGAGCATAGAGAGTATATTTGTGAGATACTTGTAAGTTCTCTACTCCATACATTTTTTTCTCCTGCATCTCATTTTGGAAGTAGGTGAATGAAGAAAAAGTACACTTCTAGGAATAACTCCTTCCACTTCCAGATTCACCGTTTAGACATATACCTCAGATATACTCTAAAAGTTTACTATAATGTCCCCAAGACTTCCTGCCCAAATGCTAATTGCATCTCGAAAGTTCTGGGATTTTACATTTGGCTTTTGAAAAATGAGATGTACTCCAACTATATTTCACCTGTCCCAAAGTCAATCTAGAAGCCAGAAAATGTTGCCATATAAATTTTGATGTTCACCTTTGGGACTATTATACTTGATCCATTATCCATTATCCAGTATACAATATATACTATTATACCTGATCCATTATTGTAGCAGGAGAGTTCTGTGAAGTTCTCAGGTAGCTGAAACTTTTTCTCATCACAGATTTGAAAGATATGATATGTCACTATAAAGGAAAGGGTGTAATGTCTGTTAGTTTTATTTTGGTTAAAAAAACAATTCTCTCAGTTTTGTATTTATAACAAAAGTGCCAGTAATTATCATGTTAATTTCTTACAATCTGCTTTTTCTTGCGACTCAGAAAATAGATACATTTGCACTCCCTCATATGCCTCACTCTACCCTTCCTTCCAAAAAGTAATTGGTCATCTTTCTGGTCCCGACCATTAGTTCAAGCTCTAAGGCAGGATCTCCTAGAGAAGTTTACACTGATGATAGGGGCTGAAAGAGGAGGACTCAAGACTGCCACGGAAGTGAAAAATGTCTATCATGAAAATTAAGTCACAGATGATTAAAATTCAGAAACAGTGCCCTGCTTGTTGAGGTTTCTGGTTTGACAAATAACCTAGAAATTAACAGGAAAAAAGAGTAAAATAGAAAGACATTTGGAGGGAAAAGAGAATCTTCAGGCAGCAAGGAACAGTTTACTCCTAATATGCACCAGGAAGAATTAGATTGAATTTGGCCTTCAGAACCCACCAACACATCTGGTGATGAAACAGGCACTGAGAAGTAGGATGGAGCTCCCAGCAGCAGTCCATAAGAATATTTGGGAAGAGAAGTGTCCTCTATCTGTAAAAGGAAAGACCCAAACATGGTCAATTTTCCCTAAGAAAGGTACAAAAGAGACAGAGGAGATTCGTACTCATCCTTTCTTATTTCCTTCTACTTCCATTGTCTGCGCTGAGTAATTCCCAAATTTCAGCATGCTTCAGAATCACTTGAAGGGCTTATCGAAACACAGATTTCTGACCCTCAACCCCAGAGTTGGCAATTCAGTAGAGCTTGTATGGAACCAACAAGGTCCCAGGGGCTACTGTTGCTGGTGTTCTAAGGCACACATTTAGAATCCCTGGAGTAATTTGTGACTAAGTTTAAGACTCCAACTCATAAACTCAGATAAACAATTTTCCTTTCTAAGTGTCTCAAATTTTTTGAAATATTTCTAATGCCCCCCTTCTTTCTTTTTCTTTGTTCCTTTTCCCTTTTCTCATGATCTTTTTTTTCTATGTCTCATTTTTCAAGCTCTTTGCAAATATTAACAGTAAAATGTTAACAGTCATCTAGTAGTTCCTCCCTTCCTCCCAATACACATTTTACAGACAAAGAAAATGAGTTCCAGAGAGGTGGAGTGACTTGCCAAAGGGATACAATGCACTGCAGAGAGGGTGGAAACAGTGATACCTCTCCCTTAACTAGAGTCCAGCAGGCTTTCTGGTATAAGAGATAGTCTTCCAATCTCTCTCTCTTCCTCCCTCTGTCTCCTTTTTATTAAAAACAAAAAACAAAACTTCACTGAATAATTTTCTATTGTCCTGTCTTTCACCCTATTTATCACGTGTTCCAAAAAGAGATCTGTGGAAGAAAATGAAGAGCTGCAAATTTTACCTGTGCATTGTGATTTAGATGATTTGGATGAATTCATTCTCTCTCTTTGGTTTTTTGTTTCTCTCCCTCTCTCCCTCCCTCTCTTTCTCTCTCTTCAGGGGTGTTTTGTTGATAAGATTCAGGGAGAATGAATCTTGAAAGATGAACACTTGGTCTTTTAGGAAGTTCAGCTCTGATCGACATAGAATGTTAGCTTGTTCTGTGGCTATGCATGAAATCAGAACTTCCTTTCTTGCATAAGAAGGACAAGAATGTTTATTGGACAACGCATCAGTTCCCTTCACTCCAGGAAACAACGAAATGAGGAAATTATGAAATGGTAAGAATCAACACAAATGGGATGACCATGGGGAAATATGAGAGTTTTTTTTTTTTTAATGTTGTTTTGCTTTGTTAGACCAAAAGTCTCTAGTTTCGTCGAGGCATAACTCATCCCCCAGTTTTTCCTTGACAATCTGGAGCTCACCTCTCTGCACTCCCAATTTCACTTAGGATCTGTACCACTCACACATTTGGTAACTGAAAAGAAGACTTAGATGACACAGCACAACGCTGGGCACATAGTGTATGTATTTAGGACATGGCAACCTGAATTCTTTTACATCTTTTATGGTTTTTCTTTCTCCTTCATTTGCAGCTCTTAAACATTCTAATGTTGTGGATTTATGTCCCTCTTTTCTTGTGCTGACTACTAGGCTACTACTGCTAGGCTGACCACTAGGGTCCACCTCAGCAGGACAGCCTCATGTGATAAGACCACTTTGAAACTCAGCTTAGTTTTTCACAACACAAGGCAACTTCTGAAGCCTCAGAGACCCAGCAGGTAGTTTAATTCTCTTGTTCTGAAATATTTGGGGTTTTTAGTTCTAGGTTGCAGCCTACACTAGGAGAAATGTATTTGATGGTCAGAAAAAGCAATTTCAATTAGGCATCCGAATTTCATGCTTCTCCAGGCTGGGAGCGGTGGCTCACACCTCTAATTCCAGCACTTCGAGAGGCCAAGGCAGGCAGATCACTTGAGGCCAGGAGTTCGAGACCAGCCTGGCTAACATGGTAAAACCTCACCTCTACTAAAAATACAAAAATTAGCCAGGTGTGGTAGTTTGCATCTGTAATCCCAGCTACTTGGGAGGCCGAGGCAGGAGAATCGCCTGAACCTGGGAGGCGGAGGTTGCAGTGAGCTGAGATTGCACCACAGCACTCTAGCCTGGGCGACAGAGAGAAACTCAGTCAAAAAAAAAAAAAAAAAAGAATTTAATGCTTTTCTGGAAGACTAGTTAGATATGTGCCTTCTCCTTCCTTAATAAGATCACGCTGGTCTTAGTTGATTTAAATTCATGAGTCATGAGGCATAAGTATAATGTACATGTCTTGGTAATCCCCACACACAGTGAGTCACAGATTTTCCATGAGTGAGAAAATATTCTTGTTCTCAAAGGGGCTTTTTATTATTTCAATGTACTGGTCAATTTTCTCTACATTCTCTGTTTTATAGTAATGCAATTTTAAAAATATCTTAAAATTATATATGTGTTTATTATAGAATATACCCATATTTAATATGTATATTCTCAGCAAGTGGCTTTTGATCAGTAAAAAAGACAGTATCTAGTGGATGAGCTATATGAATTATAAAATGATGAACTTAATTACCACAGTCCATCTTTATTAATTACAATCAACTGGCAACCATCAATGTTACTAAAGAATTATATGTGAATTTTTATCAATATATAATTAAATAGAAATTAAGAAATTAATATTTTTCTAGCCAAAATGTATATGTTTATATCCTTTATTGATTTCCCCAAATTATAGAAGCAATATGTTTTATGATTAACAATATGAAAAGCATGTTGCAAGTAAAAACCCTCCCAACTATCCTTAGCACATTCTTCTAAAGTCAAACACACTTAATGATTTCTTGTATCTACCTTGAGATATTTTCTAGGCTTACTTAACTGAAATATGTATAATACATTTTTTATTCATTTTTATGTGAATAGAAGCATTCTATGCATAGTTTTATGTTTTGAAAATTACCTTTATATTAATCCATGCATGTGGAAGTTGATCTTAAATATATTGTTTAGATTTTTTAATAACTTATAAACCAGATGCGTCTAAAGGACATTTAAATCATTTAGTTCTCCGTGCTCCTTATAAATGAGGCAATGACTATATTTATATATTTTTTCAGGCGCAAAATTTTTGTCAAATAGATTTATGCTAAGTATTAAAATCAGTATTTGGCATGAACAATCATAATAGAATAAATTCTAAGATATAAAAATAAAAACAAAATTTTATCTGAAGGAAATTTTCTTTACAATTTAATATTAAAAGCCTTATTAGGTAAGTGTAACACAATGACGTTTTAGTATAAGAACAAAAATTACTCAGCATGCAGCTGGTAAATTGTTTCCATGGCAACTATGCTGCAGTTTTTCCTACAAAATAAAAACCTAAGTATAGATGAAGAAATAGAGAGAAGCAACATATTTCCCGATATGCACTTCACTTTTCTGTAACCCTTTCTTAGTCATACTCTTCAATTTAAAAATTCTCTTTGTGTCAAATGTAACATTACATACTTTGTTAAATAGGATTTTTGAATTTCTCAGTCTTTTAAAAATTTGAGGTGAAAATGCTGATATTCTGCCATTAATTCACCTTTGTTAGATGTGAAAAATTCTCAAATAGAATTTATATTGGAAAAGGTATGCCTAAATCAAAATTAAAAATAATTAATTTCACTTAAAAACATCATATTTAACAGACTTATTTTACAAAGACTAGAATTATGATATGTATATATTTTTAATTGTACTCTAGGTTCTGGGGTACATGTGCAGATCATGCAGGATTGTTGCATAGGTACACACATGGCAATGTGGTTTGCTGCCTCCATCCCCTCATCACCTGTACCTGGCATTTCTTCCCATGTTATTCCTCCCCGACCTCCCCACCCGCTGCTCTGGGTGAGTCAGTGAATTAGTGGTGAGTGAATGTGAAGGCCTAGGACACTACATTACACCACTGCACACTTCATAAACACTGGCTGTTGAGGCTACACTGAGCTTACAAAATTATGTTTTCTTCAATAATGAATTAACATTAGCTTACTGTAGCTTTTCTACTTTATAAACTATTAAATTTTCAAAAATCTTTTTGGGCACGGTGGCTGATGCTCATAATCCCAGCACTTGGGGAGGCCAAGGCGGGTGGATCACAAGGTCAGGAGATCGAGACCATCCTGAACAACATGGTGAAACCCTGTCTACGAAAAATACAAAAATTAGCTGGGCATTGTGGTGTGCGCCTGTAGTCCCAGCTACTCTGAAGGCTGAGGCAGGGGAATTGCTTGAACTGGGGAGGCAGAGGTTGCAGTGAGCCGAGACTGTGCCATTGCACTCCAGCCTGGTGACAGAGCAAGACTCCATCTCAAACAAAAAGAAAAGCTTTTTGAGTTTTTTTTGTAACAACATTTAAAACACAAACACATTGTACAGTTGTCCAAAACTATTTTCTTTCTTTGTATCTTTATTCTATAAGTTTTTCTATTTAAAAAAAATTCATTTTTTTAATTGTAAAATTTTTCTCAGAAACAAAGACACAAACACACATATCAGCCTAGGCCCATGTGGGGTCAGGATGATCAATCTCACCGTCTTCCACCTCCGTGTTTTGTCCCACTGGGAGGTCTTCAGGGGCAATAACATGCATGGAGCTGTTATCACCTATGATGATAACAATGCCTTCTCCTGGAAACCTCCTGAATGACTTGGTTGAGGCTGTTCTACAGTTAACTATTTTTTTATAGAAGTAGAAGGAATACACTCTACAATGATAAAAAGTATAGGATAGAAAATGCATAAACCAGTAACATAGTCATTTACTATCTTACCAAGTATTATGTACTGTACATGATTGTATGGACTATACTTTTATAGCACTGGCGGCCCAGTAGGTTTTTTTTACACCAGCATCAACACAAGCACACAAATAATGTGTTGTGCTATGATGTTTTGATGGCTACAATATCACTAGACAATAGGAATTTTTGGCTTCATTATAATTTTATGGACCACTATCATATATAGGGTTCATCTTTATGGGGAACACCACTGTATTTGTATTTTAAGTGTGTTGAGATAGATAATAATATCTTTTTAAAAAAATTATTATACTTTAAGGTCTGGGGTATGTGTGCAGAACATGCAGGTTTGTTACATAGGTATACATGTGCCATGGTGGTTTGCTGCATCCATCAACCCATCATCTACATTAGGTATTTCTCCTAATGCTGTCCCTCTCTCGCCCCCTAGCCTCCAACAGGCCCCGGTGCATGATGTTCCTCTGCTGTGTCCATGTGTTTCCATTGATCAACTCCGACGTATGAGTAAGAACATGTGATGTTTGGTTTTCTGTTCTTCTGTTACTTTGCCAAGAATGATGGTCTCCAGTTTCGTCCATATCCCTGAAAAGACACGAACTCACCGTTTTTCATGGCTACGTGGTATTCTATGGTGTATATGTGCCACGTTTTCTTTATCCAGTCTATCATTGATGAGCATTTGGGTTGGTTCCAAGTCTTTGCTACTGTGAACAGTGCCACAATAAACATATGTGTGCATGTGTCTTTATAATAGAATGATTTATAATCCTTTGGGTATATACCCAGTAATGGGATTGCTAAGTCAAATGGTATATCTGGTTCTAGATCCTTGAGGAATTGCCACGCTGCCTTCAACCATTAATTCAATGGTTGAACTAATTTACACTCCCACCAACAGTGTAAAAGTGTTCCTATTTCTCCACATCCTCTCCAGCACCTGTTGTCTCCTAACATTTTAATGATTGCCATTCTAACTGGCATGAGATGGTATCTCAATGTGGTTTTGATTTGCTTTCTCTAGTGACCATTGATGATGAGCTTTTTTTCATGTTTGTTGGCAGCACAAATGTCTCCTTTTGAGAAGTGTCTGTTCATATACTTTACCCACTTTTTGATGGGGTTGTTTTTTCCTTGCAAATTTGTTTAAGTTCTTTGTAGATTCTGGGTATTAGCCCATTGTCAGATGGATAGATTGCAAAATTTTTCTCCCATTCTGTAGGTTGCCTGTTGACTTTGATGATAGTTTCTTTTGCTGTGCAGAAGCTCTTTAGTTTAATTAGATCTGATTTGTCAATTTTGGCTTTTGTTGCCATTGG